TAATCAACAAAGGAGTTTATTACCAAAATACAATTAGTCAATACATGACAAAACTTCTGTAAAAGTAAAATAAATTATTCTAACTGTTGTTCAGTATCTCGTAAGGTAGTCAAAGTAGCTCTATACAAAGCCTGCGTCCGTCGTTTCTAAACAAGACAATTCTAAAGAGTGTTTAAGGCATGCAGTTTAATGTGCGGATCTTACAAAATAAGCCATCCTATCAGTAAGATACAATAAGGGAGAGAGAGAAAGAAAAAAAAAAAAAAAGAGAGAGAACAACAACAAGGTCTGTGATCTTCTACATGTCAGTTTTCTATACGTTTTTATACTTTGGCTATAAAAAGCAGTGCCATTGTATTACAATTCTTTTTCTTAAAAAAATATAAATGTATCCATGCTCATGAATATCAAATGCAAAAGTCTATTAAATATATTTTTAACATTACTTTGGAGCACCGACTGTACATTTTATTCATTTATTTAGTGATTAAATAAGAGCATTAAAGTTCAGAAACTGGGCAGTCGTTTCACTTGCCTCTCAAGGGAAAGACGCCGTGTGAAGCTGTAAAATAGCCTCTCTCTCTCGGCCACGCTGTTAATGCCATACTTAATTGTGGAAGCAGGGCCTGTTAAGTATAATATTCTGTTTTCCAAGTAAGCTATTTAATGCAATCGTATGGAATGACCTCAGACTAAAGATTTTAGTCTGCTCAGACAGGAGAGGAAAGAGTGAATTGCACTGGTGCTTCTCGCATCCTAGACGTCTGGTTTACTTCTGCATCCACTAAGGTTCAAGCCATCTTTGCATAATATCTGCATATATCAAGATCAAACCATCTACAGGCTAACATTTCCTAGGGAAAAAAAATGCAAATCTTGGCTTGCTTTCTATGGGGGGGGTGGGTGGGGTGTTTATATGCGCCTTACCTAAATACTACTTGTCGTGCACAAATATCCAGTGAGTGCAAATGTGATTTCAACCACTTTTCATATTTTTCTACTCTGTTCTTGGCAGAGTTTTACAACTGGGGGGTTCAGCTTGAAGCATGCTGAATTCTTTAGCATAGCATGTATTCAATACAGTACGTTGAATACAATGGGAGGCAATCACGGAATAAGGTGGCTATCACGGATAAACTCTGCTCCCTAAAAAGAGTATATAAAAACTGCAGCTTGAAGTATAAACGGGAAGTTTATCGATAAGAACTAGAAACTAAAGCCGACTTTTTAATTCAGAGCACTGAGTTCGGCTCCTACATAAATTAAAGCAAACAGTATAATTAGCTAGTCTAAACATCATTTTACCAATATGCAAAAACTGAAAAAGAAGACATGCTATATATCTGAAAAGTGCTTTTTGATAAAAAGGAAATTCATGACATCCAAATAAGGTACATCTCAAGATTTTTCCCCCCTAAGGCAAGTAACATGATCAATAAACTCCTTTCAGGCTCAAGACTGAAGAATGTCAGTTTAAAATTGGTTGGCTTTTTGTGCAAAAGAAGGTAATGTCACTCTTTTAGTACTGACTAGTCACTTAATTTCTTATTTTAAAAATTCTCTTGTTTAACAGTGTGAGTTGAAGATTACATACAGAAAATACACTTATTTATTCCTTGTGCATTTTAAAAAAAAAAAAATTACATGCCTAAAAATTAATAGCTAACTTCAGGAGGAACTTCACTGCTGTTGTATACGGTAAGCGTATACTTTTACCATTTTCTTGTAGTGTGCTAAAGAGGCATGATCTATTATGAAGAATGAAAATAAACAAAGGACAGCTACCGTGGCTTGAAAGGGAAAATTAAAAATGAAATTTTAACCTGGGCAATTTTATAACAGAGCCTAACCAGGTTACAATAAAGAGATGGTTTATTCCAACAAAAGGGGATGAAATATTGATCTTTATTAGTATGAGTGCAGATGCTTAAAGGAGTACCCCCAAATTTCCTCTTTTGCAAACACATCAGAAATTCATGCTTGAGGATAAAATGTCAATAGAAAAATGAATACAAAGATAGGAGTCCAATATCTTAAAATCCGTTCTCACCAGTCTCATTTCCATTTTCTTGACTGGGAAAGTCAGTATCCTGAAATGGACACATGCCAGTGATGGGTTGCTACCGGTTCGCCCCGGATTGGGCGAATCGGTAGTGGCGGCGGCGAGAGACTCTGCTCACCCGCCTGGACGTCTCTGCTCATGCGCAGAAGTGGTGCGTGCGCACGCATGCCCACAAGCGAACCGGTAGCGATGGGATTTGAAACCCACTACTGACACATGCCCTCAGTTTCCCCTTAGATGAGGAATGTCTAACCTTGACAATTTTAAGACTTGTGGACTTCAACTCCCAGAATTCCTCAGCCAGTCAGCTGGGGAATTCTGGGAGTTGAAGTCCACAAGTCTTAAAGTTCCCAAGGTTGGACACCCCTGTCTTAGATGTTCTGTTACTTAAAAAAAAAAGTTTCTCCACCTCAGCAACTTTAGGGTGCATGGGCTTCATCTCCCAGAATCCCCCAAATTCTGGAAACTCAAATCCATGCATCTTACTGTTAATGTGGTTGAGAAAAGCTGTCTTAAAGGACACCCTGGAAACGACCACATTCTACATCCTATCTAACCGTAATCCTAACCTGACATATTCCTATTAATCAAAAATGGGTAACTTGTTTGGCGGTAGATGATTATAAAAGTAAAAGGTCGGGCAAAGGAAAAAGCTGTCATTTTCTTCTGATTTTTCTTTTTCTTTTGGCAAGAGTTACCAGGTAACTGTAGGCAGTAGGCTCTTCTCAAATTCCAGACTTGGCAAATTCAACTCCCAGAGTTCCTCAGCCAGCCATGGTGGCTGGGGAATTCTGGGTGTTGAAGTCCACAAGTCTTAAAGTCGCGAAATCTGGGGTCCTCCCAGACTATTACAACACTCTCTTTTCATACAATTTAGAAAGAAACAACATGCAGTATTAAACAATGCAAAAAAGGAGGAATCCTACATTGGGTAATACAAAATGCTTTCAAAAACTATTCCCCATTCAGCATTTAAAGCTTGAAAAACTATTTACACAAAGTTTTCCATTTGCCTAACTTCACACTTCAGAAATATTTGGGGTGAGGGCAGGGAAGGAGACACCCAACTCAAGTAGCACCGTAAAAACTGTTGTGGTTTTAAACTCTGCTCAAATACAAATATAAATAGATCAATAAATAGACAAGAGGAAGGTATCTTGCCAAGTCTTGCAAAATAATTCAAAATTGCATATAAAGCCACTTGTAAGCATCCAGCTACTTGACTGAAAGGAAATGCAGTAGGCGCGACGTGAGCTGAGAGAGAACTGTTAAAAGGAAGCCTCCAACTGCATTTCATACAAAGAATAACATGGGTTTTGTAGTACTGAGAAGAGAGACTGTTAAGTAGCATGGAAATCACTGGCGGAGAAAGGAATCCATGGCATAAGACAGAGGTCTCCAAACTTGGCCATTTTCAAGATTTGTGGACTTCAACTCCCAGAATCCCCAGGACAGCATGCATGGCTGGCTGAGGAATTCTGGAAGTTGTAGTCCCTAAGATTTAAAGTTGGCAAGAAGGGAGACCTCTGGCATAAAGAGATTGTAACACCTGCCAAATCCTAATGGTGTAACGTCACAAGGTTGTCAGAAAGAACAGCAGAGCTCAGCTAAGAACGCACAAAACCTTGTGATGCCTTTTACCTTCCTGAGGTCTTTTTTTCCCCCCGGAGATGAGAAGGAATGAAATTAATCTTCCTTCTCATTTTGATGGAACAATCCCTCCGTCAGATTAAAAGCTGCCTGAGACTGGAAGGGACCTGTTCGTTTTCCGCAGGGTTTTTTTAATTGGAGTTGCAATGGACTTTTGTATAGAGATTTTGCAATGTTATTTGATGAGAGGCAGAGAGGCAGAGGCAGAGAAGGAGGGAGAGAAAGAGAGGGAGAGAGGGATAGATCGATCCCTTGGACTGCACTGCTTCGGAGTTGGATTAACAATTTATTTTATATCTTGTGGCCCTTCTAAAATGAGGCATGCTTAAGCACACTGAAATGAAATACTAATAAATATCTGCTTAACCCAGAGGTCTCCTAACTCAGCAACCTTTAAGACTTGTGGACTTCAACTCCCATAATTCCTTGGCCATCATGGCTGGCTGGGGAATTCTGGGAGTTGAAGTCCACAAGACTTAAGAGTTACTGAGTTTGGAGACTCTTGGCTTAACCTATGTACAGGTAGAACGGAAAAAAATTTGCTAAAGAGGGTCCAATGATATACTTGCTTTTCTATCGCATCAAAGAAAAGAATTAACCAGCCAAATATTTCTACCAAGAGGCAGAACTTGTTTTATGTCGCTTGACGTAGCAAGAGTTTTGCCTGGAAAACAATTGATCGGTTGCGTTGGGAAGCCGAAGAACTAACAAAGGCTTCCATCCTCAGAAATGGCTGCTTTATGGTCACATCAAGATGGTTTTCTTTAAAACTTACCTGAAGCAGATTTTATGCCCTCAGGATGCAATTTCTAGGTAGAAAGGTTAAATCCCTTTTTTGTTAATTCCTCATGGTGAATTCTCTATGCCACAATCATTTGGGTTAATAATAAGCATTAAAAATAGTTTTGTGGGTAGAAAGGTAACTTCTGGATTTTTTTTTTAAAACTATAAACAGCAGCATTATTCGTGTCAGGGTTTCTTCAAAAGCTTGTAAAATAATCCGCTCTTTTGCGGATAACAGAGGCTTCGGATGAAGGCAGGAACGAAGACTTGCTGAAGAAAAGCACTTTGAGCAAATAAATATGTACACATACATACATGCTTATTCCTAAATTCTTTGATTTAGCAAGTCTTGCAGGCAAAGTTGGAGATCCGGAGTGAAGGGAACTTTGTCGAGTTCAATGTATTTCCACGGGGGCAATTTGAAGACGCCTGGACTTCAACTCCCAGAAATCCCCAGCCAGCATTGGCTGATTGACTGAATTCTGGGAGTTGGAAGTCCACACATCTTCCGAGTTGCCAAGGTGGAGAAACATTGATTTTAGTTTACACTTTGAGTTGCTGCATGGTCCTTGTTGAGAATGATGTTGATGATTTCCCCTTCGTGGTCTTTCATGTGGTCCAACAAATTCTCCTTGCTGGTGGACTCAAATCCACAGATACAACAGCAGAAGAGCAGGACACAATATTCTGAGCCCAGGTAGGGGAGGCCTGCGGGCTTCTCTGAACCGCTTGAGGTATTGGTTGTAGGAGTTTGATCCTGATGGTGGTCAGAAGTCATTATTTTGTTTGCCGTCGGCTTAGGAGAGTTTGAAAAAGACAAGCCTTCGGAGCTACTGGCAAAAGGAACGGCATCGCCTTCCAGAGTTTTTGTTACTTTCTTCCCAGTAAGATGACCCAGTAGCCTACAAGACAAAGGGGGAAAAGTTGTTTATTTTTAATTCATGAAACACTCAAAAGAGATGCGAAGATTGTCCGATACTAGAGACTGAAAAAATGACCTGTAAGTTATATTCTGCATTTCCTCAAAAGAGCTGCAAACTGTTATTAAATATCATCTTGTTTTTTAAAGAGAAGTTTGGGATAAGGAGAGTTGTCTCAAACAGCCAGATGGGTGGCATATACTGTATTTTTAGGAGTATAAGGCGCACTGGAGTATAAGACTCAGCTTAGTTTTTTGGGAGGAAAATAGGAAAAAAAAAATCTGCCTAGCAGGTATTCATCTGGCTAGCGTCCTTAGTCTGGTCAGCTTCAGCACATTAGTTTGCTGTTTTTTTTTATCCCCTGCTTGGGGATTAAAAAACAGCTTCTAAGGCACATCTGAGAGGAAGCAGCAATGAGAAAAGCAGGCAAAGCACCGGGAGATCGCTTCACTTGGCTAGCGCCTAGTTAGGGCTGAAAAAAAGCTTCTAAAGAACAGCTGAAGATCGCTGCCCTCGGCTAGCGCCTAGTTAGGGCTGAAAAAAAGCTTCTAAAGAACAGCTGAAGATCGCTGCACTCGCTAGCGCCTCCTTAAAGCACAGCAGAGAGTCGAGTTAGCGCCTCGTTAGGGCTGAAAAAAAGCTTTGAAAAAGCTACATTTGGAGTGTAAGACGCACCCAAATTTTCAGCCTCTTTTAGGGGGGGAAAAGGTGCGTCTTATACTCCGAAAAATATGGTAAATTTCAAAAATAAATAAAGTAAAAAATAAAATAAGGGGCCAGGGAGCAAATGGTGAATCCATTTTCACTATCCATCCATCCCTCCATCCCTTATTTTTGATTACATTCCTTCTCTCAACCCAGGGGATTGAAAGGGTGATCTTTTCATCGTGGTTTTAGATCGAGTCTGGTGTCACAAACCTAAACGGGGACTGCCGATCGCACACACCTGCCGCTTTGTGAAATGGCATCGTTAATAGCTTTATTCACTTGTTCATAATTATAGTTTTCATCACTTGCATGTTTCCACATATGAGACTTAAGGGAAGGAGGGTGGCTGCATACATATCCGCAGAGAGAACATCTGAAATAACAGCAACGGGATGCAAAAGTTATTACAAGTGTAAACACACACTACAGCAAAGCATCATTATCAGATCAATACTCTATTTTTCATTTAAACCTGGCTTATCTGGAATTACAGTTTAAGTAACATTTTAAAGAACTTCTACTAGGGCACCTTCCATAACTGTCTCAGGGCAAATATATAGTCCAATCTAAGGTTATAGATTATCTAGTACAATGGACTTTTAAGTATGCAGAAATTGTAGGGGGATATTCCATATTCTCAGGAACTGAGAATATGAATTTTCAAAAGCAACAGATCATATCCAGATCAAGGAGCCTGGTTTAGCTCAACAGACAGAAGCATTGTAATTTAACACCAGCTGTCTAGCAATTAACGTAAGATCGAATCTCGCCAGGCTCAAGGTTGACTCAGCCTTCCATCCTTTCTAAGGTAGGTAAATTGAGGACCCAGTTTGTGGGGGCAATAAGATGACTTTGTATAAAATATACAAAAGTATGAAGGCTATTGCTTAATGCACTGTAAGCCATCCTGAGTCTCCGGAGAAGGGCGGCATATAAATCAAATTAAAAAAAAAAAATCCACTACCAAAGGCTAAATCTGGCTGAACTGGAGAAAAGTCTCTTCCTCTAAGGTTATTTTCCTTTCTGTGCCTTCAAATTAGATTTGTTCCCTGGCCATTCACAGGAGTGGTATGTCCTTACCTCCTTCTTCCTAGGGTTTTGAGAGAGGGATTGGCCTAAAAATCACCCAGCTGACTAAGGCAGACTAAAACTCCCACTTTCTAGACCAGTGGTCACCAACTGGTAGTCCATGGACAATCTCCAGAATGTATTCCGGAGCTCAACAGATGATGCGCAGTGCATTTTCTTCATCGGTCGGTGGCTACAGGTCTATTCAAATAAATCTAAGAGTCATGTTCAGCTCAAGAATCCTTCTTATTAGAGCTTATCCATGGCCTGAAAGTTTTCTTAATGTGTGGGTTGCTGACGGCAACTCGAAGACTGCAAAAAGTAGACAGGCCAAGCAATAAGAACAGATCCAAAGAAACCTTGAGAATTGTAACCTTGTTATTTAGCCACACAACAAGGTTGCTGTTGGAGCTACTGTCCCGGTGGGCTATTCGTTACTTACTTGAACTGCTCCATTAACTGCACTGCCTGATGCTCTTGTGGATGGCGTCTCATGTGACACTTCAAGCTATTCATACTTGTGGTGGCGAAGTCACAGACACGGCATCTGAACAAAAACAAAGAAAGGGTTGATTCCAGCTGTCTTGTGTCCCTCCCCTTGGCATTTTAATGCCCCAAAGTTAAAAATAAAGTTAAAAAATGTTTTGGAAAATTAGCAACGCTTCCAGGTTTGATCACTTGCAATCCAATAGTCAACATATGGCCTTCCTTTAGTTCCAAACTCACTTTCTGCAGGGATAGAAAGAAAATTCTGGTTGGGGAATTCTGGAAGTGATGGTCGGCAAAAGGCTGGTCAAGTTTATTAAGAGGCGGCTGCCGTTAAGATTGCAGAAATCACGAGTCAAAAGTCCTTTCCAGATGTTGGCCACCTATTCGAGCAAGGAAGCAGAGAGACAGATGCCTGCCAAACTCTGAAAACCCCACAGCCTTTGCAAAAATGATCGCTAAATTGTTTAATTTTGACAGGATGGGGAAATATATGGACCGTAGCCCTGTATTTCTATTTCAGCTCTTGCATTCCTTTAGAATGCAATCTCCAAAATGTTCCTCAGTGGTGACTTTGGCTTGACAAACCTCAGCTGACTGTTTTCAAGCTCTCTCTGATATATTTTAAATGGAATATTCTTAAATGTTCATGTGTATTTTGAAAATGGGCTCTCTAAAAAGCTGGGCTTAATCCACTTGATTTTAATAATTTAGCGGGTAAAATTTAGGTTTGAATTCTGCCAAGGAAAACAGATTATATCTACGGCAAGCAGATGGGGGGATTCTAAGTATGTTGCAAGAACAAATCCCTGATCATTTTATGCCCTTCTTCAAAATCAGAATATTTCAAATTGCCCGCAGGTTGCTGCTGCAAGGGAACATATTAAGAAACAAATGAAACAAAACCGGCTTAAATTCCCTGGATATAAAAATACAGTGTCTTCACCTGTATGGCTTATCCGAGTTGTGAATCCGTCTGTGATTCCTCACTCCAACGTACGTTGTGCTTGTGTAATCGCAAATGTCGCAACGGTAAAGTTTCTGGACCGAAATCTTGTCCCCTGTAATAAGAACACCAGAAGACATTTGTTCTCCTTCAACACTGGTTTCTACCAAGCTTAACTGAGACTCAATTAGAACTAAAGAGAAATTTCCTGACAGTGAGAACAATTCATCAGTGGAACAACTTGCCTCCAGAAGTTGCGAATGCTCCAACACTGGAAGTTTTTAAGAAGATGTTGGATAACCACTTGTCTGAAGTGATGTAGGGTTTCCTGCCTGAGCAATGGGTTGGACTAGACCACCTCCAAGGTCCCTTCCAACTCTTGTTATTCTCAATTCTAATTAGATGCCTGTGAAAACCCTCTAAGCTGCAAATAAAATACAGGAAAGGACATGATGCAGCATAACCCACTGACAGTGGAAGATAAGCTGAGCTATGCTGATGACCAGCTTATTTATTAGATGCATATGCTGCCTATCTTGCTATTGAGATAAAACTCTGGGTGGCCTTGATGACCGTATCCTCTTCACCCTTTCCAACCACATAAATTGTCAGCTTTCATGCCACGACTTTTAAGGGATGCTGCCTTTCAATGAGCGCGGTGGCGCAGTGGTTAGAATGCAGTAGTGCAGGCTCCTTCTGCTGACTGCCTGCAATTTGGCAGTTCAAATCTCACCAGGCTCAAGATTGACTCAGCCTTCCATCCTTCCGAGGTGGGTCAAATGAAGACCCAGATTGTTGGGGGCAAGAGGCTGATTCTGTAAACGGCTTAGAGAGGGCTGTAAAGCGGTATATAAATCTAAGTACTGCTGCTGTCTTGAATCACCTGCTGCTCATACTCCAGCGGTTCAAAGCCCTCTCCTTAGATGTTTCTAGATCCCAGTACCATTTCTGTATTGCTGCGATCAAAACTAGACACATCTTGCTCTGTCATTTGTGTAACAGTCACCCTTTGTGTAATCGGAGGGTAGGATGTATCGATGAAATATACACACACCCATTTGCACTATTCAGGTGACCCTGGAGGCACAGATTAAACCTCCAAGTGGCCTCAACGACTCTCAGAGAGAGTGCTAACGACCAGAGGACTGCAAGGAATACCAATGCTTCCATTCTCCACCAGTCAGTTGGAACGGAAGAAGCTTTCGGAATGAATGTAATATTTTGCTTCTATCCAAGTATTTGTTATCTTAGCTTCTAACAGTACCTCATTATAAACCTCTAACACTGACAGGCTTAATGTGTCCTGTAAATGTTTATAAACCTCCGCAGGCAATCCATCTGGTCCTGGGGATTTGTTATTCTTTTGTCTTTGTACGGCCTCTGTTAGTTCCATCATCGTTATTCTTTCATTCAACATAGCTTTCCCGTTTTTAGACCCTTTTGGGAGGCTAGCTTTTTCTAAGTATTGCTTTATCTTTTCCTCAGAATTTTTTTCTTGATCGTATGGTTTCCCATAAAACTCCCTGAATTATTTTCTTTTTAGTCTCGTTCGGAGAACCGGCAAATACCACTCTGGCTGGCCCCAGAGTGGGGTGGGAATGGAGATTTTGCAGTATCCTTCCCCTGCCATGCCATCAAGTCACACCAGGTCCACCATGCCCACAGACCCGGTAGTAAAAAAAAATTAAGATTTCACCACTGCTCCTACTGCTGCTTACTTGTGCCTGACATTGGTGTCTGTAGTCACTTAAACCCAATATTGTCCACTACAAAACTCAGATTTAATTTGTTCATCTGACAAAGTACTACACTCCGATTCCTTTTTAACTAAATGATTTAGTTGAGCTGGTGGGTTTGGGGCCTGGTTTAATGCATATATGTTTTGAAGAGAAGAAGATGTAGCAATCTTGGTTTAGCTGTGGGTCTTTTTCTATAGCGACCCCAGATTTCCCCCACTCCACTCCTAGGCGCTGGGGATTCCTTTAATGTTTATAAGTGCAGTCACGATGAACAGGAACACTGATGATTTTCTAAGCAGGGAAGGCATGTTCCTGCTCAAGCAATTGACACGCAAGCAGATGCTGTGCCATAAACTTCGTTTTTTTTTTATAGAGGCAGCATCTGTTTGACAAGAGGGTTTCCTTCCTGCAATTGTATCTTAATTTGATTGCAAAGGGCTTGCAAAATGCTTTGGAAAGCTAGCATTCTCATTTAATGAATACAATTAAAAAGGAAATGGTTTTAAGCAAAGGCAGGCTTCTGACACGAGATTTTCAAATAAAAAAAGTACTTTAAGATACTAGACCAGGCAGGAACCCCCCCCCCTTTTTTTTAAGCTATGAGCAATCAAGAAAAAATGCAGACAAACACTAATCTCTGCATCCAGATGAAGGAATAAAAAAAAAGAATCCCACATCCTGTGTTGCACCCTCAAATAATTCATAATTAAGGTAAAAGTTCCCCTCGCACATACGTGCTAGCTGTTCCCGACTCTAGGGGGCAGTGCTCATCTCTGTTTCAAAGCCGAAGAGCAAGTGCTGTCCGAAGACGTCTCCGTGGTCATGTGGCCGGCATGGCTCAACACCAAAGGCGCACGGAACGCTGTTACCTTCTCACCAAAGGTGGTCCCTATTTTTCTACTTGCATTTTTTATGTGCTTTCGAACTGCTAGGTTGGCAGAAGCTGGGACAAGTAACAGGAGCTCACCCTGTTATGCGGCACTAGGGATTCGAACCGCTGAACTGCTGACCTTTCGATTGACAAGCTCAGCGTCTTAGCCACTGAGTCATCGCGTCCCTGTAATTCATCATTATTCAGTGACAAAATGAGGATAGCTGAGAAACATTCCCTTCTCTCAATTCTCCAAGGAATCTTTTCCCCCAAGATATCAGATTCTATTTGCAACTGGGGAAATTAAAGGATGAATTTACAATGGCCGTCTTGCAAACTGGCACCCTTTAGAACAGGGGGTCTCCGAGATTGGCCACTTCATGATTGGTGGACTTCAACTCCCAGAATTCCCCAGCCAGCATGGGAGTTGAAGGGGAGTTCATGCTGGGGAGTTGAAGTCCACCAGTCTTAAAAGTGGCCAAGTTTGGAGACCCCTGCGCTTTAGACCAATGTTTCTCAAACTCAGCAAACTTTAAAACTTGTGGAATGCTGGGAGTTAAGACTTGTGGAATGCTGGGAGTTGAAGTCCACAGCTCTTAAAAGTCACTGAGATGGAGAAACACCGCTCCAGATTTACCAGGTTATAACTCCTGAAACTGCCAGTCAGCAGAGCCAATGGATGAGTAGTGTAGCATTTTGCAGGGTACCAAGAGAAAGAGAGAAGGTGCATCCTGGCCATTCTCACAATCACCCAGGCGAGTGCCATGGTGTGCAAGAGGAACCCAATCCAATCCACAAAACTAGCCAACGAGATAGACAGTACCAACTCTTTCATCTGCTTCACTGCAAGCCATTAAGCCGTCAAACGTTGGGGTGGCATATGTATCTGGGAGGCAGTGCTGCTCTCTTTCGTGACTGCGCAGCTGACTCTGGAACACAAAACAGTCGCATAAACATTAAAACGGTGTTATTAATCCCTAACCCCAAACTCGGTTGGGCATTCTTTTATGCCATAAGCATTATTGACAAGAGGATGAACTAACAATGTCAGTGCAGGACTCAAAGCCACCATTTAACAGCAGTTTGATAACTAAACCCACATGGGTTGGATGTTTCCATCTTGCTAGATTGTCAGTCATAGTTTAAAAATCAAAACAGCTTAGTTCAAACAGCACAAGGTGCCAATCAGTGGTGGGTTGCTCCCGGTTCGCAAGAACTGGTAGTAAAAAATTGAGAACCGGAGAACCGGTAATAACATTGGCTGGCCACGCCCCCGAACCGGTCCCTGGCCTGGTCGCCGCTCGCTTACCCTGCCCACCTCATCAGAGGCTTTTTTCTTTTTTACTTTTAAAAGCATTTTAAGAAAAAAGTGCTTTTAAAAGTAAAAAAAAAAAAAAAGTTGGCTGTGCCCACCGTTACATTCCCCCCCCCCCCCCCCACAAGCCATGCCCACAAAATAAGGACGCTCATAGAACCGGTAGTAAAAAAATTTAGAACCCACCCCTGGTGCCAATGTGTAAACCCGGTCAATACTTAACCCTGGTGAAGAGAATGTGGGGGAAGTTACTGCATATAGTAAGATGGGTTATAGGAAATCCTACGAGATAACTGGAGAAAAAAAATCAATCTAAATCAGTATTTTTCATATTCCAGAAGTCCCCAACCAACATGCCAGATCTCAGCCTGGCATGTTGACTTCACAAGTTCAGAATTCTGGGAGTTGGAAGTCCGCACCTTTTTGAAGTTGTCAAATTTGGAAAATACTGATCTAAACAAACTACATTTGCTTGACTCGTGTGTTTGGGAACTTAAAACAATGATGTTGTATTCATAAAACAAAAGACACCAATCTTACGATGGCAGCCGAATAGAAAACTAATAAACGCATCAGTTCTTAGACAATCTGAAAAAAGGTTGTTTGCAATACTGCTTGCCACCACTCCATTGCTTTGCCAAGCTACACTAGAAAGAAACATCCCATGATGAATCATTGCAGGGTTCACTAGTCTAATAAAGAGAAGAACTAGGGTATGGTGTGATAGCAGTCTTCTAATACTTAAGGGGCTTCCACAGAGAAGAGGGGAGGTGGGGGGGTCAACCTATTCTCCAAAGCATCTGAAGGCAGGACAAGAAGCAATGGATGGAAGCTCATCAGAGGGAGATCCAATCTGGAACTAAGGAGAAATTTCCTGACAGTGACAACGATGACATTCCACTGACAGCGAGTCAATGGAATAGCCTGTCTCCAAGAGCCTTGGTAGTACAGTGGTCTAAGGCACCGTTATTAAGCTGGTTATTAAGACCAGCTGCCTGCAATTACTGCAGGTTCGAATCTCGCCAAGCCTCAAGGTTGACTCAGCCTTCCATCCTTTCTAAGGTAGGTGAAATGAGGACCCAGTTTGTGGGGGCAATAAGCTGACTTTGTATAAATATACGAAAGGATGAAGGCTATTGCTTAACACATTGTAAGCCGCCCTGAGTCTCCAGAGAAGGGCGGCATATAAATCAAATTAAAAAAAAAAAAAGTTGTGGGTGCTTCATCACTGGAGGTTTTCAAGAAGAGAGTGGACAACCAGATATAGGGCAGTAGTGGCTAACCTTTTTGCTGTAGCGTGCCAAAAGCAGGGGGGGAGTGCGCGGGAGGGGGGTCACCCACACACGTGCCCACACCCATAATTTAATGCGCCCCACCCCTCGTGTATGTGCGTGCTCCCCCCCGCGCTCCCCCCGCTTTTGGCACATGATGGCATGGTGGGCCCGGTAGGCCTGTTTCTCGCCCTCCCCAGGCTCCAGAGGCTTCCTTGGAGCCTGGGGAGAACGAAAACGGCCTTCCCCACTCCCTCGGAGGCTGGAAACAGCCCGTTTGCCGACTTCCGGTGGGCCCGGAAGGCCCGAAAATCAGCTGCCTAGCAGACACATGCGCGCTGGAGCTGAGCTAGGGCAACACTCTCATGCCCACAGATATGGCTCCGTGTGCCACCTGTGGCACACATGCCATAGGTTCGCCGTCATGGATATAGAGTCTCCAGTGGAACAGTGGGTTGGGCTAGAAGGCCTCCAAGGCTCCTTCTAATCCTGTTATTCTATGGTCTTATGTTTTGCACCACAACTCTGAGAGGTCCCCAAAAGCAGGACCACAATTAGAAACCACAGCGGTGGATTGTATAAAACGAGCAGAGGACACCAACTTGCCACCCCACCAAGTCACTTAATTCTAAGCACCCAACCTGGCATTTAATTATCGCAAAGCACAGCGGGTTCACCTTGTAATGAAAGGATTCCTCACACTGCTTACACTGGTACATTCGGGTTTTGCAATGGTTGATCATGTGACTTTCTAAATCCTTGCTGTGGTCGGCGACGTGCTCACAAATCGGACACTGATAAGGCTGCCTCTGCCGATGTACCCGCAAATGTTGCTTGATGTACCCTTTGTTGCCGCTGCTGTAGTGGCACAAGCGACACCGGAAGGGCCGTTCCGCGTCGGGGATGTATTCCACCAGACTGCTCCCCAACACGCCGGCATCCCCTGAAGGTTGGCACTGAACGTTATCTTGCAGCTCCTTCAAAATGTCATCGTCGGAGGCATTTTGGTCTGTCCTCTCTTTCAATTTCTCAATCACGGTCAACAACGACATGCTGATGCCCATTTTAATGGGGCCTTCGGGGAGCTCCGGTTTATCCTTCTGCAGTTCCACAAAAGCTCGTTCCTCTTGGTTCAGGCTAGTCAGTTCCTCCGTCTTCAGGGAGGCGATCCGTTTAGAATGGCCTAAATAGCCACCGTCGGGAGGCCTCTGCCCAGCCTCCGAACTTAAAGGATTTACATCGGCGAAAGCCCGGAAACTGGATCGGGCAAGCTCCGCGGCTCGGATTGGCATAGTAACCAGGGCTTCGGCAGCTAGCGAGTGCAGCCTCAAAGACTCTGAATTGGTTCTCCTCCGGGCAGGTGGAGCATTTTCATCGGCTGTTTTAGCCCGGCTGGGATTCATGTTATCTTCGGCCTTTTCCGTGCTGCTCCACCCAATGATAACTTCTTCGATTTCAATCGAATTCTTATCCATGTGATAAACGTCATCTGACACATCCCGTCCAGCCGGAGGGTGTTCAGGGGCGGCGTCCACGGAGTAATGCAAGACATTATCCATGACTTCATTCTGCAAGACAGGTTCTCCGGCGCCGGGCAGGCGTTCCACAATGACGTTAACGTGGCCCTTTTTGTTCGGGCTGCAGTGAATGATTTTCTGGGCCGAAGAAAGCAAGCTGTCAGCCCCCAAATGATCTGGGTCGAGATCTTCACGCGACGTGTTCTCCTCTAATAATTTGTCTGCAGGGGAAAGCGCAGCTGGCTGGCTGAGGGCCGATTCTTCTTTGACAGGTTCTTCAGTTTTGAAAGCCATCGGCTCGGGGCTGCAAATGCGAAGTTGTACAGGCTGGTTGTTGCAGAGTCCCGCTTCATTATTGTCTAGGGACAGGACGAGGGTATCCAACGTGGAAGAATCCGACAAGGCGACTTGCTCTTTTTCTTCCTCGAATATGGGATACGAGCAATTCACCTCGCCTGCGTGCTTCCAAGCGTGCGTTTTCAACATTCGCTGTTGTCCGCACGTATAACTGCAAATCAAGCATCGGTACATGCCGTATTGCTCGTAAGTGTACCATTTCCGCCTCCCCTTCTCAGGCCCTTGGGGAGGCTGCATCTCGTGATCAGTGCCGATGATGACTTTTTCTACCGGCCCAGGCAAAGCGGTACCGGATACGCCAATGCAATGCTCTTCCTTCAACAGGGCATGGATTTTGCTGCTGTTCTCGGGGTGACTTCGAATGTGACTTTCAAAATCTTCTACGCTCCGGGTGGTGAAACTGCAAACAGAGCACATGAGCATGACTTCGTTCTGCTGGCCGTGTTGCTTGATGTGCTCCTGTAAGAGAGGAAGAGTGGGCGACACGGACTTGCAGAGGCTACACTCGTAGCAGAGGACCTTCCGTTTGCTCTGAGGAGGATCGTCCATCGTGTAATAGTCTTCTATATTGATGGTGCCCAGTGCAGGCAATTCCAGGGCTTTGGATGGGACCTCTGGAAGGCTGGGGGTCTCGGGGTACAAACGTTTCTTCCCGATTAAAACGCATTTCTGTGACTTTTCGCTTTCGACGATTTTGCTGAGCTTTTGAATGACCTGGATGAGGGGATCGGGTTTACACTTTAGCGGGTCATTGGCGTTCTCTGCTGATGAGCTTACGATGGCTTCGGAAATCAGGACAGCTTCCTGTTCCCTCAGATTTGAGATTAGGGCAATGATGTTACTGCCTTCTTCCATAATACCTAAAACGGCAATAAACAAACAAACAAACAAATAAATTCATGCTTGGGCTACAGATGGAAACTTCCAGCTTGTAAAGTACAGAGAAGAAAAAGATTTATATTTTGGGGCTGTAAATATGTCTTTTTTCATTTTACTAGCTATGATAGGGGTCCACAACCTCTGGTCCATGGAATGGCATCTGGCCATCAGAAACCAGGCCGTGCAAATAAGCGAAGCCCCATCCACGGATGCAGGCAGTATGCAAAACTATGCTGCTTCTGGTCCATGATGCCCAAAAGGTTGGTGGCTATTGATATATGAGATGGTCTCTTTCATCATGAGTAACTTGAAGTACTGTATTTTTCTGAGTATAAGGCGCGCCTTTTTCCCCCAAAAAAGAAGGTGAAAATCTGGGTGCGTCTTATACTCTGAATGTAGGCCCACCCAGCTTCTCAGAGGTTTCAGAGGCTGATAAAAGCATCAGAAACAAAGCTTCAGAAAAGAAACCCCCAAACAGAGCTTCAGAGGCTTTTATTCTAAATCTCTGTTTCAGAGGCAGGAAAAAGTTTTTTCTGAAACAGAGTTTCAGAAGTTTCAGCAGCAGAAAAAAAGGCAAAAAAAAAAAAAAAAAAAAAGCAAGGCACAGAGCTCACAACCAAGGAACCTATTGCTAAAATTCACCTCTGGGAATAGCTGACTGGAGGTATTCCGGGAGGCAGATCCACCTGCCAATCAGCTTTTTTATTATTTTCCTCCCCAAAAACAAAGGTGCGTCTTATACTCTGAAAAATACAGTTATGTGCAATTAGCTACAAGAACAGGACACTTCTTTAATTAAGAAATGAACTTTCACATGTGATGCTGGAGAAAGCTCCTGCATATTCTTTGGACAGCAGAGAGGACTGTACCGGAGCACATAACCCCAGACATTATCACTAGCAGGCAAAATCACAAAGCTGTATCTTACTTACTTTGGCCATGGCATGTGGGAGAATTCACTGGAGAAAGCAATTGCGTTTGGAAGAGTTAGCAGTAAAAGGAAAGCAGGCCACCAAAGAACAGGGTGGCTGGACCCTAATAAAGCAGAACCAACCAACCAGAACACAGAAAAACTCAAAAGAAATAGTGCAAAATCCGAAGATGTGGAGAGACCTGGCCCAAAGAATCACCAAGACTTGGACATGACTGAATGGACATCTTCATCATCAATCATCTTTCACATGATGGACTTACCAGGTTCTTGCCAGTCTAACAGGTGGTGTAAAAGGGAAAGGGTTTGGAGGCAATTTTTCGTCTTGCCAGCCCAAACACTCTTCTTAGCTGCTCTTCTGCTCTATTATTACAGGTGATGATTGCTGATGTTCCCATGTGCCAGGGCAAAGCATCGTTCATCAGAACAACTGTCAGTTGAGCCCTTGCATCTTCCATATGAATTCTCTCCTCATGCTAACTGAAAACATTCATGGCAGTAATCTGAAGACAAAAAAGATAGCTGATTAAGTAACTCTTTAGAGTAGAAGAAAGAAATTCACGTTTTCTACAGCATCGTGCAACGTTATTTTATTCTGGAAATAAAAACGTTATCAATTAAAGACTGCCGAGTGTAGAAAGCCCATTATTATATTAGTTTTCAAATCGGTCTTGATTCTTGGCAACCGTCTGGATGAGACCCTGCCTTTTTGCTGGCAACATTTTCAGAGATGGCTTTGACAGCCTGTATCTTCTTCCAATAGTTGAGAGTGACTGGCCCAAGGTCATCCAGCTGGCTTTGAGCCTAAAGCAGAACTAGAAATGTATCCTGGTTTGGGTGCTTTTAACTACCACACCAAACTGGATCACAAAACCTTTCATAATTTAGGGCAAATTACCTTCAGGGCCTTCAACCATGATAGAAAGCTTTGCACTCCAAAACTGAGCATTTTGAATTAGCCTGGAAAGCAATCAGTAAGCAACAAGCTGTTTAAACTCTTAACAATATCATTATCCATGCCATCATTCTTGGCCAGCCGCAATTTATAGATTATCTTCAGTTTAGAGAGGTACCACAACATAATGGTGGCTATATTGGACCAGGAGTTGAGTTCCCTTTCAAATAGTCACTAGGGGACTTGGGGAAGTCACTTTCTCTCAGCCCAATCTACCTCACAGGAAAATAGGTAGAGGGAATACTGTGTCTATTGCTTTGAGCTACTAAATCAAATCAATAACATTTTGATTAATATAGTGAAAGATTCTAGTAATACTGCACTTCAAACAACTTAGGTGGATTGGAATTTGGCAGTGATGACTTCCTACGTCAGAAAATTACAAAATAAAATAAAAATCTGGACCAAACAGTGGAGAATCCCAGGTTTCCAATTCCTTCACTGGCATTTTATAGCCTGAGAAACCTAAATCTAATTAGCTACATTCATACTAGTCTTTTATATATGACCATTCCATTGAGGCTAAACGGTGGGATAATTTCGCAGGATTTTAAAATCAGTGCTTTTGCTTTCAAGGCAGAAAAGGACAGGGGAGGACGAGTATAGGACGTACGCAAATGTATGAGAAAGCTGAAGCCAGCTAAAAATCTTTTTAGGAAACTACAAAAACTGGCTCCGAGGGAAGGTTCAAACACAGACTTTGAAGCAGTAGCCTTTAATTTTGTTTTGTTTTTTTTAATATGGAGCACCAATTTAATTCAAGATCTTTTATTAGCCTGGCAATATCACATCAAACCAATTTGGGAAGACCTTTGTAGGAAAAAAAACCACACCATAAAACAAAGCAAAACCTCGAAGGACTGATGCAAGCAAAGGAATGGGGGAGGAAAAAAAAAACACAGAATCTTCACAACTGACCATGAAGGAAGGAAGTTTGACAGGCTCCACCAGTCTCTACCCCTCCACCTCCACCCCCCCAGAGCCCTGACACCTCCAGACGGATTTAAGACTACAAATCCAAACCTCCCCAGCCAAGAGCTTCTTATTGGTTGGGAATCCCAAGAACTGTAATCTCAGGCCTCTGGAGGCAGCAGGTGGTATTGAGTCCATAGGTCGTTCGGTTCAATTCCATAGGTGGAGGGGGGAGGGAAATTGTATTATTACACCCATTAAGTGGGTGTAAATTGTACACCCACTTAATGCGGGCGGAGAAAACTCGTGGAATGATGAAGGGAAAACCCATCAGAGACCCCATTATTCCTCCCCCCCCACAAATCCCTCAGCCCACGGGGTCCCGTCTGTTCCCACGACGCCCTTTACCCGCCACAGGAGTGAATCTACCCCTTTTTTGGGTCTCTGCCCCGCAGCCACAACCAACCTCCGGGGTTCACCCCACCCATTCCCGCGGGGGAAACACGCCACGCTCGGTTTAAGGCGTGAAAGCCCCCCCACCCCCCACCCACAAACCGCCGGTCTCTCCCTCAAAACGGCAAACCTTTCACCTGAGGGGAAGAGCCGTTTTCTAGGGACCCCCCCCACCCGCTCTCCCCCCTCCCCCAACGCCTCTCTCTCTCTCTCTCTCCCCCCCCGCTTCCCCCCTTATCCGGGGCTCGCTGGCCTCCCCTTCCCCAAAGACGGCTCCCCTTCCCTTCCCTTCCCTCCCCTCCTCCCTTCCTTTCCCTACCCCGGCTCTCCCTCCTTCTTCTCTGCGGTAGCCACTCCGCTTCAAAATGGCGACGATGGAAAGGCGGTCACGTGAGGCCGCGGGGCCAGGTCAGGTGACCGGGAAGTGAAAGTTCCGTCTCTGACTTTCTCTTTTGCCACCTCCTCCTTCCCACTCGCCACCCCGCTCACCTGTTACCATAGAGACCGGAAGGCGCGCGAGGCCGGCCGAGCGGGATGCGCATGCGTGCGCTCTCTCTCTCTCTCTCTCTCTCTCTCTCTCTCTCTCAACCCCCCCCCCCTCTCTCTTGCTTTCTGTCTGATGTTGGTATCTAACATGGAAGAAATTCTCAAGAATGTATGGAGGCACTTTGAATGTTGGGAATGCAAATAAGAGATCTTAACATTTATGGTGGGCCTGTGACAATGAAATATTGGAGCAGGATTCACATCTTCATACAGAAGATTCTTAAAGAGAATACAAAGATAAAACCAGAAAGTTTTCTTTTAGTGTTTCTCAACCTTGGAAGCTTGAAGATGGGTGGACTTCAACTCCCAGAATCCCCCCAGCCAGCAGTGCTGGCTGGGGGATTCTGGGAGTTTTAGTCCACCCATCTTCAAGCTTCCAAGGTTGAGAAACACTGCCTTTAATTCTTCTCTTATTCCTATTCCTATTCCTATTCCTATTCCTATTCCTATTCCTATTCTATTCCTATTCCTATTCCTTATTCCTATTCCTATTCCTATTCCTATTCCTATTCCTATTCCTATTCTATTCTCTGCCCAGAGTCACTTGTTGAGATGGGCGGACGTATCAGTTGAATAAATCAATACATAAAATAAATAAATAAATCCCCTTTTAAGCTACCATTTCCAGGCCCTAGAGAGGTGACCCTCAGTTTAGCAGCCGGCAGACGTGGGGCTGCAATGGTTATTGTTATATTTTTGCTTTGCCTCTCTCACTGTGTGTGTATAGAATAGTTATAGATTTATGTATCTTTGTGTGTGACTGCATGTACATATACCAAGATATATATGTGTGTGTGTATGTGCATATGCCTATACAGTATATGAAACTCAAGGAAGCGAATGCATCTCATACCGTGGAGTTCTTGGGGTTCTCATGGCTTCGGTTGTTGGCTTGCAGATGTTTCATTACCCACCTCGGTAACATCATTGGTGCAACTAGTGCGCTGCTTTCTAGACTGAAGCTACACGGCCCTGCTTTAACAAGAAGGCAGTGCACTGATGATGTTATCAAACTGGATAATGAAATGTCTGAGGCCAACAGTCAAGGTCAGAGAGCACCAAGCACTCCACCGTTCAACCCTGAACTATGGAGACTCTCTTCTGGTGGAAAAACACTGTGTACTCCTGCCTCCTGTGATCCCTACAACAGCCTTGTCAAGTGGGCTGAGTTGAGAGAGAGAGAGAGGGACTGGCTGAGGTGACCTTCATGCCTAAGGCAGGCCTAGAAATCACAGTCTTCCCAGATTATTCTCAAACTTCACTCTGCATCCAACTAGTGCAAAGGAAGAAGACGTAACACCAGTTCAGCTGTATGCATGTCTTTTCCCCTTCATCTTATGGGATAAAGATTTCTTCGCTCGTAATTATTTTACAAACACTTCAACTTAGCTACCAAAGGGAAGGTCTTTTACATTCCCTCCTCTCTCCCCATAATCAACATGGCTTCAGTTTTCACTTTTTATACTGAGCTACCATTGCTGATGGAAACAATTCTGAGCTATAAGTCAATTTATGTTGTTGTTAGTCGCGAAGTCGTGTCCGACCCATCGCGACCCCATGGACAACGTTCCTCCAGGCCTTCCTGTCCTCTACCATCCCCCGGAGTCCATTTAAGCTCATGCCGACTGCTTCAGTGACTCCATCCAGCCACCTCATTCTCTGTTGTCCCCTTCTTCCTTTGCCCTCAATCTTTCCCAGCATTAGGCTCTTCTCCTGTGAGTCCTTCCTTCTCATTAGGCCAACGTATTTGAGTTTCATTTATGTAACAACAACAATTTATGTAACAACAAATACCTTAGGTTCATAAACAGCAATATCAATCTAACTGTTCACAAAGCATTCTTTGAAGGCATTAAAAAAGAGTAGATGATGTAATTATTTTTAAAAAATGCTGTTACTTACGTTTTAATTTTTTTTTGAAAGAATGGGCTCTCAGGAGGAACATGCTCGTAAATCTTTCTGTGAGCTCTCAAATGCATTAAAAAGTCCTCTGGAATTGTTGACCTCACGGTGGTCAAGCCTTCTACTTATTCTTTGTAGCTCGGGTTCAAAATATTTTTCAATGATTAAAAAGAATGGGGTGTCTTGGTGTTATTGATGAGATAAGTCGTAGTGAATTCCTCAAGAAGCACAAAGGATGTAATATATTTTATGTAGCGTTTGGGTTGTAAATTTTCCCCAGCCTACACATTTTCTGTAGTAGGGATGTGAGTGCATTGGAATCTCCTCAGCCTTTTAATCACAGGCTCTTTATTTTAAATTGAACATCTAATTGGCATCCCAACAATCATAAATTTGTTTCCTGGCATATTACATAGCATGCTGCAGTGCAGTGGCCATAATTGAGTTCTTGATACTAGGATGTTTGAAACACTTCCAAAACCATGGCTTATCTGGTATTTAGACAATCAGGCCCATCAGATAAAGGCTGAATGCCGTGCATACAACTGAACTGGTGTAATGCAGGTAGTGCTTGACTTATGACCACAACTGAACCCAAAATTCCATTGCTAAACAGAACTTGAGTTTTGCTCCATTTTACAAACTTTCTTCCCACTGTAGCGTAGCGTAGCGTAGTGTAGCGTAGCGTAGCGTAGCGTAGCATAGCATAGCATAGCATAGCATAGCATAGCATAGCATAGCATAGCATAGCATAGCATAGCATAGCATAGAATTCTTTATTGGCCAAGTGTGATTGGAGACACAAGGAATTTGTCTTAGCTGCATATGCTCTCAAGTGTACATAAAAATACATTTGTCAAGAATCATAAGATACAACACTTAATGATAGTCATAGGATACTAAATAAGCAATCAAATCATATTAGGAAACTAAATAAAACAATAAAAATCATAACGATACAAGCAACAAGGTTATAATAATAAGTGGGAAGAGATAGGTAATAGGAAGGATGAGAAGAATAATAGTAATACAGTCTTAGTAAATAGTTTGACAGTGTTGTGGGAATTAGTTGTTTAGCAGAGTGATGGCATTTGGGAAAAAACTCCTTGTGTCTAGTTGTTCTGGTGTGCAATGCTCTATGTAATGTCGTTTTGAGGGTAGAAGTTGAAACCAACAGTCTTAGGTTTAATTTCCTAGAATTTATTGCAATTCACTACACGTCTCTGACTGATTTAAAAAAAAAATCTTATCTCATTTTTGGGGGTTAATTTAGATATACTTTCCTCTTGCTGTCTTAACTGCTAGAATCCATTCTCCAGCAGTCAGGACTGTGCTCTGTATAAAATAAGGCCGTCTTTTTTGAGCAGACACGCTGAATCACTTTGAGATTTTATAAGGCGACATATTTTCACAAGGCCTCTCTCCATGTACACACTTGATCGTGTCACTAAAACGAGCTGGATAGAAGCGAGTGAAAATAAAGCGTGACACTTTTCTTCCGAGACCTTGAGGTGGCAGCAACACTACGTTTAACTCCTGTCATACGTTTGGAGTGAGAGGTTATGTGTGCCTGTGTTTTTAAAAAGCAGTAAATCAAAACAACCCTATTTGTTATCGTTTTATAGCTTGCTCTTTTAAGTCAGTAAAAACTTGTCACGAATGTCATTTGCATTGTACGTAATTTTTACTAGTTTATCAGATATGTTTTAAAAGCACGTTGAAGTGGGCTGAATGTAGAAATAAGCCATAAATGATGGCAGAGCTGGGAACGTGTCAAACGTTATAGTAAAACAAAAAGGGCCTTTTGGAAAAACATGGCTCTAAAAGAGTGTTTCCAAAGGATTTGATATCGCATCAAATGCAATCCCTTTTGTCTTGACTAACTATGCTTAATCTTTTCTTGAAGACGTTCAGCGATGGAGCACCCAGAACTCTTGAGAGGCAAGCGTTCCACTGATTTAATTGTTCACTATCAGGAAATTTCTCTTGAATTCTAGGTTGGATCCCTCTTTAACGATCTTCCTTCCACCTGTTGCTTCTTGTCCTGCCTTCAGATGTTTTAGAATAGAATAGAATAGAGTAGAGTAGAGTAGAGTAGAGTAGAGTAGAGTAGAGTAGAGTAGAATAGAATAGAATAGAATAGAATAGAATAGAATAGAATAGAATAGAATAGAATTTTTATTGTCCAAGTGTGATTGGACACACAAGGAATTTGTCTTGGTGCATACGCTCTCAGTGTACAAAAAAGGAAAAGATACTTTCATCAAGAATCATAAGGTACAACACTTAATGATAGTCATAGAGTACAAATAAGCAATCAGGAAACAATATCAATATAAATTGTAAGGATACCAGCAAAAAAATTACAGTCATACAGTCATAAATGGGAAGAGATGGGTGGTGGGAACGATGAGAAGATTAATAGTAGTGCAGACTTAGTGAATAGTTTGACAGTGTTGAGGGAATTATTTGTTTAGCAGAGTGATGGCGTTTGGGAAAAACCGGTTCTTGTGTCTAGTTGTTCTGGTGTGCAGTGCTCTATAGCGTCGTTTTGAGGGTAGGAGTTGAAACAGTTTATGTTCAGGATGTGAGGGGTCTGTAAATATTTTCACAGCCCTCTAGAGAATAAGTCAACCCTCTCATCTCTGTGAAGACAGCTATCACCCCTAATCCTTCTCTTTGCCACATTAACCCAATACAACACAAATTAATCCTACAGTCTGGATTGTCCCAACCTACTTCGTAAAATGCGTTTAGTTTTTGGTTCAGCATGTGATGTGGACCTAGCCCCTATTTCTTCTCCTTTCATGATACACACGGTCTTTGGTGCCCCCAAGTAGTCACCCTCCAATGTGCCACGCTTTCCAACAGGAAATTTGCATGGGCAACGTGTTGGAAGTGCGTGCACCGTTCCATCAGAACGGCGTTCATTTGTTTGTTTCACCAATAGGACAG